TGAACAAATGTTGGGAAAAAGAGAGCCTGAAATATTCCGGTAAAGGCACCATAGGATCCCATGATGTAACCGATCGTAGCAGGATCGAAGCCAAGGCCACCGGCTGTGAGAGGCATTGCAAGGAATAAGGGGAGAAGCGCATCAAGTACAATGTTAAGAAATGCAAGGTTAACGTAGTTGGAAATCGAAAGAAGGACTGGATAGACAAGGAGCTGTCGAAATGGGACAGGTTCATCGTAAGCGTGATGTAGTGTCTCCTCGCTGGGCGACAAAGAAAGGGGAAAGGTCCTCTTTGAAACAGTCTTTTCCATTATGATCAGAACGTTGCATAGAAATGATGATTGGCTCACCTCTTTAAAATAGACTAAGGTTATGCAGAACGCTGTTAAGACAAAACTCGCAACGACAAGACAGGGCAGAAAGTACGGATAGTCCTCCCAAAATTTACCAGCAAAGAGGCTGGGAAAACGTTTTGCTGGTTGGGCAAGGGTTCCTCCTATCAAAGGTCTAAATGTAGAGTCTGAGAAAGAGGTCCAGTTGAACGACTGGCGGGGCGTACCCTAAGGTTGCGCCTGTTGCCCACACAGCTGGCATTAAGGAGAACCCTTTAGCGCGATTACTGGGGTCAGTGAGTTCGCCCATCGCGCTTTTCATTACACCTGAAACGCTGTTAGATTGAAAAAAAAAAAGTGCAACCAGCAGATTACGCACCGACGTTCCCATTCAATAGGCCGCAAAGGCATCGGCTGGAATTGATGCATCAGATTCAGATTTTACATATCGTAAACGAGGACACGTAAGTACCTGACAACCAAAGGCCAAAATGTCCGAGAGAGACCAAAAGAAAGCATCGACGCAGCCGTACCGAAAAGGCCTATCAGCAGAATTGGTTTCCGGCCAACCTGGTCTGACAGCCTACTCCATTGAAGAACAGATATCGCCTCTGCCACGAAGAACAAAGACATCTAGAAAGATCATTAAAATGATACTCTGGTTAAGAAGAAAAATAGCGCCATACGATCAATCCAGCGTAGTACCCGACTTGATGCTCGTTTCCAGATCCAGGCTCGGTGATGTTTAATCCGCCAACAAGCTAAAAGATGAGCGATATCAGTAATGGCAGCTAACACACTATTATCTAGCTAGGGCCCTACCTGGTTTATATAGGGATATATTGACATACTTGTCAAAGGTTCGCAAACTTGAAGTAAAAGAACGATGGATATTTGCAGCAACGGCAAAGGAGTTGGTTTCTGCGGACCACGCAAAAGAGCGGTTTCCTCGCCAACGATGGTGACGTCCGAGGAGAAAGTCGAGGAGGTCTCTATCCGTTGTCGTTTCGAGTGAGATCGCTGAAAGAACGCGTCTAAATCCCCGTTGATGGCACTTCCATAGGAAGGGAAAGGCAGAGTGGCACCTTCCAACTCCTGACTCGAGCTCGACATGGTCATCAAGGTCATCGACAAGTTGAACGAGCCATACCCCTCGCAAATTTATAGAAATTGGGTGCTACTGCAGAAATGTTCCAAAGGGGACCCGAAAAGTGCCATTGGAGCCGTCTAACTGAGTGTCATATTTATGTAAATTCAGCACGCAGGGGCAAGCGTCGGGAATAAGAAAACAGCGTACAGTTATTCTAAATGGGGAAGCTTCAATTATCCTCAGCTCAGTACTTAGTGACGAGTCGAGTGTCAAGAAGGTAGGTGGAATACGGCACGGTTCGTCGAGACTAACATAGGACAATTTTTTGGCGCTAGTCTACATGGAGGCAGTATGATCGATCATACGACGGCACACATAAGCCGCTCGTGGATCTTACAGCCTACGTTATATGCATAGCCCGAAGAGGTGTCAAGTAGACCAAGTCAACGTTTGAAAAGGTGGTAAACATTTAGCCGGTCCCTCTTGTCGTACGTACAGTGCTTCCTAAAATGTGTATACTGGTATTCAAAATTCTCGTCAGACTGAGTCTGAAGGCGTGATATCATCTTATTTTGGTTTCGTGGTATAATTCCCACTGATGGGGCTGTCGCCGCAATTAGGCCTCCTCCCACATCTCACGAGGCAAGCACAAGGCAAGGAGAATCGCAAGACACGAGAAGACGAAGAGGATGGCATAGACTGCGTATCCCCAAAGAAGCCTGTGCTCTGCAGAGACCGCAAACAGTGAAGTTGCCATCGCCGGTCCAACAGCGCGTACAATCGACACAGCTGTCTGAGACAGACCATTCGTGGCTCCAAGAGAGCGCTTGCTTGGGGTGGAAGCGGTGATAAACATGAAAATACAACCTTGACAAAAAGAAGAGAGCATTGAAATGAGCATCCAGCATCGACAACTCACAAGGGCGATGTGATCATACCAAAGGACATGTCCACAAAGACCATTAGAAAGAGCATGACCACTATGCAGGTCCAGGTGAATGCGGTCACTCCAAAAGCCTGAGCGGTGATACTCATGACAGGGAATAAAGCAAATATGGGCGCAAAAGACGCAATCCCAATCACGAAGACTTTTCGTTCTCCCATGAACCGAATAATTTTGGCAAAATACATCACCTGGAAGAGTCCTGTGCATACACCATAGAAGCCCATTATATAACCGATAATAGCAGGACTGAATCCCAGACCACCGATGGCAAGAGGCATCGCCATGAATAGCGGAAGCAGTGCGTTGAGCGAGATGTTAAGGAAGGCGAGGCTCATGTAGTTCGAGACGGAGACAATGACAGGATAGACGAGTATCTGTCTCAAGGGGATGTGATCATCATGCCAGCCTTCGACCAAAGTCGATTGGCTGGCAGATGAGTTCCGTGAGCGCTTTTTCGGGACGGTCTACGAATGACTATCAGGATCTTATAGCATGATATAAGGTAAAGAATCATACCTCTTTAAAGAAGAGCAGAGTGACTACAAATGCGACGACAACAAAAGAAGAAGTGACCAGGCATGGTAGGAAGTAAGGGTAGTCCTTCCAGAACTTCCCGTCAAAGGTCCCAGGGAAGCTTTCAGCAGGTCGGGACAGGGTCCCTCCCATCAAAGGCCTACAAGATTGAGTTAAGAACCCGGGAAGTAAACGGAACTGAAAGTGGTTGTATACCCCAATGTTGCACCAGTCGCCCAAACGACGGGCATGAGCGAGAATCCCTCCGCCCGGTTAGTAGAGTCTGTCAATTCACCCATGACGCTCTTCATGACACCTTTCCAAAAAAGAATAATCAGCTTCAGAGCCATCAAACCTGTATTTAAATGCAAACAATACCGATGTTTCCGTTCAATAGCCCGCACAAGCATCGACTGTAAGGGGAAAGCGAGTCACTACTTGATCACCAGGTCTCCATGAGAAAAAAAAACCACCTGACCACCAATCCCCAAAAAGTTCTCGAGAGGCCAAAGCTTAGCATCGACGCAGCAATTCCAAAGAGCCCAACGAGCAGAATTGGTTTCCTGCCGACATGGTCTGATATGCGACTCCATTGGAGGACGGTTAGTGCCTCGGCGGCAAAGAATAGCGACTCCTGAGTCATACGGAAATGCCAGAGTCTTCAATTAGAGTTTATGCAGCGTGTTAGGTGGGAACACGTACGATTAAACCTGCATAGTATCCGACTTTCCTCTCATCCCCGCCTGTGATGTCTAACTCACTAACCAGCTAAAGATGTTTGAGGTTTTCTCAGAATATTCCAAAACTATGTGTGACTGATATACCTGGTTGATGTAGGGGTATATAGACATGCTTGTGATAGGCTCAGCGACCTGGAGAAGGAGCATGATAGATATTTGGAACCATGGGAGGGGGGTAGGGTTTCGACACTTTTGAGAGGGCAACAGAGGAGTTTCCTCATCAATTACGCGCTCATTACTGTCCAGAGAATGGGGCATCGTGGTGGAGAAAGAGAAGTCCTCGGGTCAAACGATAACAAGGGTCAGGATCCGTTATTATATACGGCCCACGGAATCTACAAGAACAAACAGTCCGGAAATTTTAAGTTAGCAGGGCGCGGCATCGATATGCAGTGTAGATAACTCACAAGTTATCCTCACCACGAAAATCGACCTCCGGGAAATGGTTCAAGGATAGTTCAGTCGAAAAAAGAGTGTGATGGGAATTGGGGCGCAACGGGCCGGCTTGCCGGTAAAAACACCTAATTGATTGATTTTACATATTATTCGCCTCTTCATGGGCACATGGTGTAGTTGGTTATCACGCCCGCTTAGCACTTCAGTGTATGCGGGCGGTCCCCGGTTCAATTCCGGGTGTGTCCAATTTTTTTCTTCTTATTATTTGCCTGGATAGAAAAGCTGTTGGAAGGGAGGCACTTATCTCCGGTTGACATCCAGCGCCAGTTCGAACATTATAGTAAGATGGAGCCGGATCTTACAGGGTCGTGGTCGTTAGCATTGGTTGAAGAGCGATTTTTGCCGTGACTTTGCGGGCTACCACGGGCAGTTAGTTCTACACAGCAGATGATTGTCTATATTGAGAGAAAGGAGTTATCTTTCGAGGCTTGCCGTCCAAGGTCATGCACCTTCACAAGCTTACAATGGCGTTTGACCACGAAGGCTGTTAGGAAGGAAATGGGCGATCCCCGCAGCAGATACGGAAATCCCCGCAAGGATAGCATATACCAAATATCCACCGAGTAGTTGTCTTTGAATGGAGAGTGAAAACAAGGATGACGCAAAAGTTGGCGCAAGTGTCCGCAATATCGAGCCGGACATCTGCGACAGTCCATTGACGGCTCCGATTGATCTTCTACCAGGCGCGGCATCCATGACGAACAATTGAGTGCAGCCTAGCATGACCTCCATCACTAATGCTCAAGTGTAGGAAGGAGACAAATGAAACGCACTATATGCCATAAACACAAACGAAAAGGACAGAAGCTGAAGGCCGAGCACAGCCCAGACTCTAAAATCGGCGAAGCCTGCTTGCTTCGCAAAGAAGCTCGTCAAAGGAAAGCCGGAAAAGGTCGCGACGGCGCAACTGAAGCACATGATGCATAGTTTGTGAGGTCCAAACCAGCGGAACATTCTTGGGAACATGACGACCTGAAATCCTGCATTCAAGAGTCCCCAAGTCCCCATTGTCATTCCGATGGTATAAGGGTCGAACCCTAAGCCACCCAAAGGAATTGATGTTGATAGCATCAATGGCACCATTACCCCGAAACTTTGATCTATGAAGGCAATAGACCCGGTCGACATCAATGCGACGATGACTTCACGAGTGAGCAGAGCACGAAATGGTGGTGGTTCCAGGTCAGCATGATTCTCGGGCCCTGGCATAGATTCTGACGTCCCATAGCATGCACTGCGCTCGTCAAAGCTTAGAAGCGGTGCTGCGGAATCTGTACGAAGAGAAGACTCGGAGAACCCTTGCTTTCGTTGGAAGTCGCGTTTGACCGCAGACGGCAAGCTCTGCAAGGGAAAGTCATATACGGTATTGTCGTGCCTTGAGGCTTATAGACTCACCTCCTGCAACAGAAAGTACGTGTAGAGAAAAGATCCCATCGCAATAGCTCCAGCTACTGCACATGGAAGGAAGTATGGAAAGTTATGGAAGAAAGCACACCTTCCAAGGAAGTTGGGCCAACGTATCGCAGGTTGCGCCAAAGCGCCCCCGATGACAGGTCTGTTGTACACCAAATAAATCATTCCTTGATACCCTCCTTTGTACACTAAAGAGCGTACCCAAGAGTAATGCCAATGCTCCAGATGGCTGGAATCCATCCAAAAGCAGTCGGGACGTCAGCAGGGTCAGTGATCTGTCCAACATCGCTTTCCTTTAATTTACAAGAAAGCACGAAGGGGAAAAGTAATACCTCGATCATCACGCTCTTCCCTACACCTGATAAGAGTCATAGGGGTCAGGAGCTACTACAAATTCGTTGGAATATAGCTCACCAATGTTCCCGTTAAACACGCCCTGTGCACAGCGTGAAACGACCAACATCCAGAAATTGCTCGACAGGCCGAAGGTGAGCATAGCACAGGCGAGGCCGAGGGGCCCAAGAAGAAGAACAGGTCTCCTCCCGATTCTATCAGACAGTCGTCCCCAATGATATACACTCAGGCACTCAGCGAAAAAAAATGAAGATTCCTAGGATGTGGCCTTAGATATATATCTCCATGGTACACTGAGAAGGACATACGATGATTCCAGCATAGTAACCAGTCCTTGTTTCATCACCGCGCGTTATACCAGTCTCGGCGACGAACTGGTTAATAAAGGGATAGATAACAGTGTTCGACACAGGTTCCGTGAACTGGATCAGCCAGATTATCGACAACTGGACAATCGGAAACGATTTTCTTGTTCTCGCTTGGGCGGTCTGGTCATGGTCGATAGGTGCGCTTTCTGCATCCATGGTTGATATGGCTAGGATTGGAACAGGAAGGATGATAAGTCGGCTAAAGGAGTATCACACTTATCACACTTCATCACTCCATGTAATAAGTAATACGTACTTCCTCCGGATTGACGCACACACGGCCCATTAACATTAATGCGTGATTCGATGGGAAACCATCAGAGGAATGGATCACTCGCCGGACACATTACAACCTTCACAAGTCTAAGACATGCGGATTATCGATGAGAAAGAAGATCAATTAAGAATTGACAATGCTTACACCTATGTATCAGCTGAAAGCGATCACCGAACAGGCGACGGTCAAGTAACTTTAGCCATACAATAAGTAGATGTGAACAATCATAGAATCAACAAGACATGAATTATTGAACACTCCTTGAAGAACCTGGAATGCAGATTACTGTACAAGAATAACACTATATATACATTATTATACTTTGAAAAAAGAAAGGATGGGGCCGACCTCCAGTTCACATCTTCTTGAGCTGTCCGCGGAGGGTTGGAGGGAGTAAAAGAGATATTGAACACCCCGTAAAGACAATCCCAATTATCACCGCATACACAAGGTATCCCCCAAGAAGGTGCATCTCTTGCGATATGGAAAAGAGCGAAGACGCTATTGTTGGAGCGAGTGTACGGACGACGGAACTCATCATTTGCGAGAGCCCGTTCACAGCACCGAGCGCGGCGTTGCCAGGTGCAGCGTCCAGGATGAACAACTGTGCGCATGCTGTAACACCGGGGTAAATAATATGTATGAGGGTGGAAAGATCTCACGACTTACGATATGACATGCAGGCAAAGCAGTGCAGGGTGAGTTGGGTGATGAGAATGGCCCACACGTGCGTGTCTACATGGCCCGCACGTTTTGCCATGATGCTCATGAGGGGGTACGCTGTGAATGAGGTGATGAAGAACATGAAGCTAAGGATGTAAGCTCTCCGCGGGCCAAGCCATTTCACGACTCGACCAAAAGCTAGGACTTGGAAGACGGCATTGGAAGTGCCCCAGGTACCCATAATCATGCCAATGGTGAATGAACTAAATCCGAGGCCACCGTGTTGGATGGAGGTGGATAGCATGAGAGGAAGCAGGACGGTATGACTCTGGTCAAGGAAGCAGTAGAAGCCGTGGTTTACGAGAGCAATGATAAGGTCCCGAGAGAGAAGAGATAGGAAGGGGGGCGGGGCATCGGTTGTTCGTAAAGTAGTCATATCGTCGTCACAGTCTGCCCCAGACGGGGTGGTGGCCTCCTGCCGCGTTCCGTATTCGGTAACAGGACGTTGAGGATCAAGAAGCGCGCCCTTGAGCACGAGGTTACGCTTGGCCTTTTCCGCTTCAATGCGTTTTGTTCGCTGGATTGCCGAGGGCAGACTCTGGTGTCCCAGATGGTCAATGTCAGGGCAGCATTCAAAGGGTGGATGTCTTACTTCGTTTAAGCAGAAATATGCGTATAGGAAAGAAATAAACGCTATACCTCCTGCGGTAGCGCAAGGCAGGAAATAGGGATAGTCGTGAAAAAATTGCATCTGGCCGAGAGTGTCGGGCCACCGAAGACCTGGTTGGGCCATGGTGCCTCCAATAAGTGGCCTGCGTACCGTACATGAATATCGCAAATTTCTATAGATCAAAGCACGTACCCTAGAGTTATTCCAGTACTCCACATTGCCGGAAGCCAACCAAATGCTATTGGCACGTCCGCGGGATCGGTGATCTGCGAAGGATCAGCATGTGGTGGCGTCAACCATGTTTTGTAAGTGCTTACTTCAACCATCATACTCTTTGCGACGCCTAGAAGCGCGAAAAACACGGTCATCATATGCTTCCTGATGGGGAAAGGGCAAATAGAACTGACCAACGTTGCCATTGAATATCCCCTGTGCGCATCTAGAAATAACTAGCATCCAGAAATTTTTGGAGAGACCGAAAGACGTCATCGCCAGAGCGAGTCCGAAGGGCCCGAGTAAGAGTACAGGTCGTCGACCGATTCGGTCTGAAAGTCGTCCCCAGTGGTACACGCTCATACACTCTGCGAAGAAAAATATGGACTCCTATACAGACGTTAGCCATTGTACTGGGGGTGGAAGATGATGACGCGACTTGCAATGAGACCAGCATAATATCCCGTCGCCGACTCGTCACCACGGGTGATCCCGGTGTCGCGAACCTGTTGGTTGATAAATGGATAGATGACGGTAGAGTTGATGGGTTCGGTGAGCTTGAGAAGAAACAAAATTGCCAGCTGAAAGGCGGGGAATGGTTTCTTGGCTTTGAGAGGCTTTTGCGTTGAGTCTGGGTCAGACTCAGTATTGGCACGCTCGGCATCGTTTTGGTGGGCGTCCATTGAGAGAAAAGAAAGAAGAGATCGCCACTGTTGCATATGCCAGGACTTGCAGTTTATATAGGGAACGGGTAGAAACTTCTCGAGTCGAGGGGAAAGCTAAATCGGCTGACGGATTGCGTGATCTTGAACCTGGCCCGATTTTCCCCCTCCCCCCCCCCCCTTCCCCCATTCCCGGTGGCTAACAGGACAAATGTAAATTAAGTATAGAAAGGCTGACAGTTGGAACCTGGTTCGGACTCCTTTTTGGCGCAAAAGTTCATTCGCCGACCACGGCCGCCCGCGGTCACGTGGATCGTTATGTTCACCATCGTTGCCTGCTATGCCGGCTCCCTGCCTGCTTCCTGTCGGTTCACTTATACCTACCGAGCAGTGCCTTCGTCCTGTATGTCGCGTGGAGCTTATTGATTGGTATGTATCCTCTATTCGCTACCGCAGAACGACCAACATAGCTTCAATCTCCGGCTTTAGATCATGCCAGAACCCGAAGTCATCGATTTGACAGGTTTATCAGAGTCAGAATCAGAGGAGGAAGAGGAAGAGTTGGA